TGGCAATCAGAGGACATCTGTGGCTCAACCAAGTGTCATAGTCGCATGATCATAACAATGGGCATCGGTTCAAATGAGTTACCATAAACAGTGGGAAGCCTATAGAAATGTGACCTTGTGTGTTGTGAGTGTCTGTTGTTAAATGTTTCTCTTCAGCCAGGCAGTGGTGGCACATGCCATTAATTCCAGCATTTGGGAGGCAGAGGCAGTGGATCTCTGTAAGTTCGAGGTCAGCCTGACCCACAAAGTGAGTCTCAGGACTGCCAGGACTACACAGAGGAAACCCATCTCGAAAACAAAAACAAAAAAGTTCCTCTTCACAGCCTGCGTGAACAGGTTACATGTCTCAAACTGGAAGACCAAACTGACCCATCCCTGCTCAACAGCTAGAAGGCTGTCAGAAAAATTCAGTGTCTGTGGCTGGGGGGCTCAGTGGATAAAGCCATGGACACCCAACCATGAGCACTCTGGCTCAACTCCTAGTACCCACATAAATTCTAGGAGAAGCGCAGCCACCTGCAATCCCAGTGCTCTGAAGGAAGGGACAGGTGTTCTCCGGAGCTGGCTGACTAGACACACTAGCGGTATCAAACACACAGAAAGAAAGATATACCACGGAATTTCTGCAAAATCAGTGCCGTCAGCAGCGGGGAGATTGGAGACTGAAGGCTTTGCTTGACATGCTGGATTCTTACGCTGAGGCATTGAGCTTTTAAGATTTATTTTTTATTTTATGTGCATGAGTATTTTCTCTGCATGCATGTCAATGCACCATGTGCATATGTGGTGTTCATGAGTTACAGACAAGTGTGAGCCACCACATGGGAACCAAACTTGGGTTCTTTACAGGAGCAGCTGGAGCTTTTATCTGCTGGACCTTCTCTCGAGTATTTGTCATTTTCATAGTTAAAAGCCAAGTGTTTAAAATGTATTTAAGGCTAACAAGATGGCTCCCACAGGTTGTTCTCTGACCTATACACACACACACACACACACAGAGTAAATATAAAAATATAAATGTATTTACATCTTCACTGCACATAAGGTTATTGAGATCATATAGTTGCCCTGCTGAGAACTCTTGGGTAGGATTATTGCAGCTTACTGGTGGAAGGCTGGCCTAACAAGCATGAAGACACAGGATACAACTTGTGTCTCCTCCATGGCCTTCAAGCCTTTTTGATCGGCCTCTTGATGGTCACTTTGGCTTCATTTTGTCTCCTGGTGATCTGCAGCCCTGTGCCCTCTGCTGAGGGCTTCCTGCTCTTGAATTTGTCATTCTCTGTCCCCATCTACCTCACATGCATGATCCCTTCTCTTCACTCAGATGTCAGCTCAGCCTCTCAAAGGCTTCCCTGACCATTCATGCGAGCAAGGCTCTGCCCACTGATGAGTAGAGGAGGGGACATTTAAATTGAGTGGCAAGTGTTAGAAGAATGGATGTGGGTAGGGTGGGTAGATGAGAGGATGAACAGATGGGTGGGTAGAAGAGTAAATGCATGGGTGAAGGATGGATGGATGGATGGATGGATGGATGGGTGGATGGATGGGTGGGTGGATGGATGAAGGATGGATGGATGGGTGAAGGATGGATGGATGGGTAAAGGATGGATGGGTGAAGGATGGATGGATGGGTGAAGGATGGATGGGTGAAGGATGGATGGATGGGTGAAGGATGGATGGATGGATGGGTGAAGGATGGATGGATGGGTGAAGGATGGATGGATGGGTAAAGGATGGATGGGTGAAGGATGGATGGATGGGTGAAGGATGGATGGGTGAAGGATGGATGGATGGATGGGTGAAGGATGGATGGATGGGTGAAGGATGGATGGATGGATGGGTGAAGGATGGACAGATGGGGGTGGGGGGTGGATGGATGGGTGGATGGGCAAAGGATGGTTGGCTGTCATCCAAGTCAGTAAACAGCGACCTAGATGACCTGTCACAGAGACCTCTGTCCTTCTCCCATTCCCCCAGCTCAGTAGTTCTCAATCTGTGAGTTGTGACCCCTTTGGGGATAAAATATAAGATATCATATATATCAGATACTTACATTACAATTCCTAACAGTAGCAAAATTACAGCTATGAAGTAGCAACAAAATAATTTAATGGTTGAGGGTCACCATAACATGAGGAACTGTATTAGAAGTCACAGCATTAGGAAAGCTGAGAACCACTGAGGGCCTAGCAGTTTGTTTGGGGTACAATCATGCTAGCAACATGTGCTGAGTTTCCCCCTGTCCTGTTCTCAGCATGGCACACACAACCTCATGGAGGACACATGTCACCTCATTGGCCTTCTATCATTCTGAAGTGCTTCCACGATCTCAGATCTGCAGAGCAGGTCTGTTGCTTGCCTCAAAGTGGAACCAAGAATGAAGCCAGGTCCACCCCAAAGTCTTTTCACCAAGCATCACTTTCTTAGAACATGGACACCGAAGACAGACAGAAATCAGTGGACGGACATGAAGGACAGAAGACTTTTCTCGAGTCTTCTCTAGTAACTTCCCGTAAGTATTAGGGACAGCACCATTGCTCAGATGGGAAATGATGGCAGAGGTGGGGAATGGACAGGGAACCCAGAAACACAGGGGAGTGTCTGAAGGAATTCTGGGCTCATGCCTTAAGTAGAATTCCATGAGGAGCACCAAGAGTCATTCATATAGCCCTACCCAGATACAAGGAACCCACTTGGGACCCTGAGCCAGAGAAACCCAGGCTTCCTGTGAGGTGCTCCCCCATCGTCCCAGCCCAGTTCCATGTGGTTTCTAGATATTTGGGCAGCTGTGTAAAGACAAAACTGAAGTAGCCAAAGATTTGAAGGAAATGCCTCCAAACCCCATGGCCTAAACATGGGGAAAGCAGCCCAGATGAGAAAGAGGCTCAGAGCCCTGCTGTGCTTGCTAGGCCAGTGCCTCCAGGGGGAGCCCTCCTCAAGCCCAGAGGGACCTTGCTTGGCCCTCCAACTGCCTGCTGGAAGGGTGGCTGTGGTATCAGTGTCACTGAGACTTAGCCCTTAATCCGGGTGAGGGGAACAACTTGGGCTAATGTAGGATGAGAAAGAACTATGTCATCTGGATGTCACCCAGGGAGTGGGTATTTCTCAGACACTTTGAATACATTTTAAGAACAAAAGAGGGCATTTGAAAGCCCTTCTAGAACTACGTGTCTGAAAGAAGCTCATGCCCTTGAGGTGGATTTACCTCCCCCTAGGGCACACTTCCAGGAAGATTTCATGCTGGAGGGCAAGTGAAGAAATCGTTCTCAAGGTATGGCGGCCGTGCATAACGCCCCGAACTGTGTGACAGCCCTGGGTGTGGCTGTCAGGTGTGAGGTCTCCCTCAGCTGTGTCTCTCTGCATTTCTCTGACCTTGAGTCTCCAGATGCAGCATGCAGGATCTGGAAGCCAAGATCCATTTCTAGTGGCCTGCTACCTTCTCACCCAGGTTCCAGTCACTAAGGATCTGATTCCTCTCCCCTTCACTTGCTGCAGAACAAGGCTGGGTTTGAGTGGACAGCTGGGGCCAGGTTTCTTCCCTACTTCCAAAAGAATCGGGGGCCTTGGCGTCTGCCCAAAGCGGATGGTCAGAGGCTTTCTCTTGACCCAGCATTGTTCAACCAGCAGGGAACTGGAGAGATGGCGGTACCGATTGGTGGCCCTTCTGGCATCTAGCAGGAGATTAAAAAAATGTTGCTAAGCCTCTTATGAACAGAATTACTAAGCTCCAAATCTCAGTAGTGGCAACTGAGAAAGGCCACCAGCCACACAGTAAGGCAGGTAGGCTCACTGAAGGGAGTTTTGGACCTGGGTGACCTTTGTACAAATAAATCATCATCGTGACAGTCATTGTGAGGCCTGTGCCTGCCTAGGGCTGAACTGAGAGCCTAGCAGTGAGGGCAGAGTGGGCTGGGGAGACTGTAGCATCAGGACACAGTGTTGTACGGCAGAGAGTGCAGGAGGAATGTGGGTGGATCCGTGTGGACCAAATGATGGCTGGAATCCTATGTGAGCACGTGACAAGAAAAGAGAGGAAGAGGTGGGGTTATGGTCAGGAAAAAGAACCAAGCACGGGGTAGACTGTCTGGGTAGAATCACCTGGCCTCGTCAAGTCACTCAGGCTCCTGACCTATCTTCACCTGCACAGGTCTAAGCCAGATGGGATCTCAGGGTTTGAGAGGAAGTGGACCAGACACCCCATCCCTAACCCAGAAATGATCTCCAGTTGATAACAGCTCACGAAGGAAAACTTGGTTTTCTTCAGTGGAGTCACTAGGCATATAAGCAGTAGAAACAAACAAACTCAATGGTACCTCTGCAGGGGTTTTGTCTCACAGTGTCTGGGCCCCCCCCCTTTTTTTTCAGCTTATGGTCTTCCGTGTTTGTGAATGTGTGTGTCTCTTTTTTGTTGTTGTTGTTTGGTTTGGGTTTTTGAGACAGGGTTTCTCTGTGTAGCCCTGGCTGTCCTGGAACTCGCTCTTGACCAGGCTAGCCCTCACAGAGATAGTGTCTCTACATTTATATGTGTTTTTTGTGCTTTTTCTTTGGCCCATTTTTTCTGTTTGTTTAATTGTTTTCTCCTATCCTGGTTTGCTTGTTTTATTTTACCTTATGCTTAAAATGCCTATTTGCTTTCTAAAGAAAGAGAGAAAGATAACGTGCATATTTGGTATTTGGATGATGGGGAGGTAGGGAGAATCTGGGAGAGTTAAGGAAGGGGAAATCACAGTTAGAACATACTGTATGAAAATAAATCTACTTTTAAAAAATCCCCCAGAATCAGACAAGGTAAATGAGAAAGACATGAAATCTGCCCTTGACACAGGGAAGATGTTCAATGATAAGGGCCAGGACAGAAGCGCTACGACACAGGGATGAGGTGGCTGCCTTCATCTTATTCTCAGAATCCCAGGTAGCCTCAGGAGTCGTCTCTCCAGCCCCGGGCATACTCAGCACCCAGTCCAGGCTGGGATGAGGTATGGGGACAATGTACTCACCGCTGTGACTGTCTCCATCGCTGCTCATAAAGGAGTAGTAGTCTTGTGTTTGGCGTTGATATAGTTCAGGTTCGTAAGCAACGAGCTCTTCCGATGGCTGCGGAGAGAGGAAGGTATCAGGGCCTGGACTGTTGAGGACACTCCAGCGAGATTTTCAGCTATGTTTGAAGCCCACAACCTCCCCTGCCTGAGGCACCTGGGAACAACCCAGCCACCGCTTAGAACCCAGAGTGCTCAGGTATACAGGGGGTTAGGCAAAGGCAGGAGGTTCGGGAGAGTGTGATAAGGCAGTGGTGGGATAGTGAGGTCAGAGGTCAGCAGGTCAGGGGTGAGGAGAGGGTGCAGCCCCTCCTCTCTTCTGCTTGTCTCCATAGCATGCTTACACCCAGGCCTGTGGGGACATGTTGCTCTTTCCCACGCACCCTTCCCCCAACTGTGCAGATACTCCTTGTGACGCACTTATACCCAAACCCATATGGGGACTCACTCTCACAGGTGCACACACTCACTCTTGGGTTCCTGTCTGTATTTCACACACAGGCGTGCTCACCCTCTCGTGAGCCCCACATTTCATACAACTCTTAGGACCGGTCACACTCATAGACACGCCACTGTGCAGCCACCCAGCAGGCATACATATAGACTGACACACATGTGCTCACATAGGATTCCAGCCATCATTTGGTCCACACGGATCCACCCACATTCCTCCTGCACTCTCTGCCGTACAACACTGTGTCCTGATACTACAGTCTGTCTCCCTCACTGCTAGGCTCTCAGCTCAGCCCTAGGCAGGCACAGGACATCACAGTGACTGTCACACTGATGATTTATTTGTACAAAGGTCACCCAGGTCAGTTTGTCGAGCCAAGGGACAGAGGGCCTTGACTGTCCCTTCTCCCTCAGTGTCTTTGATGGAAGACTCCCTGCCCGTTACTGTCTGCCCCTCTCTCTCTCCCCCCTCCTCCTCGTACTCGCCTTCCTGCCTTTCTTCCCTCGCTCCTCTGTCTTCCCTTCTCTTCTCCCTCTGCCTCCTCCATCTCCTTCCCACCCTCTCTCACTTGCTTGGGCACAGGGATATGAACACCGAGCTTTCCGGACAGTCATCCGGCTTCTCCCCACCCCCGCAGAGTGTGCCCAAGGATTGCACAACAGTTACTGCGGCCTCTGGGGCTTGCTTGGTGGGCCGGTGCAGCCTTGGGAGCCCACCCACTCAGGAGACTTGGATGGCCTCCGGGGCTGGAGAGAGAGGCTAAGGAGCTGGTGTAGGAGCTCAAGGTCCTCCTCCCCTTGCCTATTTCTGCCTGGTGTTCAGGAGAGAGAGGTCAAGGGTCAGGGAGAGTGACTGTGCTTGGGGCAGAGTGGACGCTCTCTGGGACAACTTCTATTGCCCCAGCACCTTCTCCATCCCGGGTGGGGAAGGAGATCAGGATGAGGGTGAGGACAGTAAGTCTGGCCAGCCCTGTCTCCTATACGGTGAGGGTGCCAGGAGCTACCCCCTTCCCTAGGTTTCCAGGCAACACACTGGGCCCGGCCCTGTTGGGGGACGTTGGCTATGATGTCAGGCCTGGGGTGCCTCCTAGGGCGCTAAGGTCGGGTGGGGTAGAGGAGAGATGTGCCTCTAATTCGGGAAAGCTGAGTCAGGTGGGCAGGCACTGCTCTGCCCTTCCTCATTGTCCCAACACCTCCAAGGACAGGAGACAGTCAGAGGGTTGTCTGGAGGCACTGTGACTGCGGTCTACCTAAAGCTGCCACTGTCACTGAAAACAGGAGATTTGCCCACCTGCCGTGCCTCTGACTTGATCCACCCTAACCGCCGTCAAATACTCAATCTAGGTCCTGCTCCAGCACCAATCTCAGCCCCAGACCCATCCTTCACCCAATGTCTTCTTGAGCCCAGCCCTGGCCACATATCTAGCTGCCATATTTCTACCGTATGCGCTGCTCCTGCCCAGCCCTGGCCACTGCCCCAGACTCGCGGGTCCATGTAGGCCCAAAGCCCAAATACTTGGATAAACAGCCACTCCTCTATGCCAGGCCCCAAACGGAATGTTGGGGACCCATGGGTGACCCAGAGTTCTGCCAGCCTTTGTCTCAGGAGCCCACGGGTCATGGGTTGAAACCTTTCCTGTTGCCTCCGGTGGCCCCTAGGCCAGTCCAGATCGCCTTATCCATGGCCTCCCAGTAGCCGCCCTCACCGTCTTCACCCCAGTACCCTGTCCTAGAGCTTGGCCTGCCACGGAGCCCCACCTATAAATAGATGTTCAGGCCCCACCGATCACAGCCCCACCATGGGGCCAGCCGGCAACCCTCAGCCCGCCAGGGCATGCTCGAAGGAAGCCAATGGCCCCTCGCTGGGTCTCAGGCCAGCAGCTCCGGGGAGGAAACACCGACTTCCCACTGATAGGGAGCCGGAGGGCAGCGGGTGGGTTGGTGGGTTAGTGGGCAGATGGTCACACATCCCAGGGCCCCAGGCTGAGCAGGTAGTGAAGCCCCAGTACTCACAGGGGGGACGAGGGGAAACCCTTCCATTTTGCACGCCTGTAACATCCAGCTGAGCTCCAAGTTGGTCAGATCCCCTGCCTCGGTGGGGATCAGTGCGGATCCCCTCAGGACCGGGTGCCCCGTCGGGGGGCTGGACGGTCGTGGGTCAGACGCAGGGCTCAGGCCTGCCCCCTGAGCTACAGGAGCCCCGGGTGAGCCCCCTCCCTTGACATTGCAGGGCCAGCACAAGTTCCTGATTTTATCGAAGGGCCTGCCACTGGGAGATAGTCCCCTTGGGGTGACATCACTGCCCCAGCCCGTTTGCATAAATCTCTTGCGCTACAGGAAGTCTCTGGCCGGCTGGGGCAGGTGGTGCTCAAAGGGCTGCCCTGGGAGGTTCTGGGGCCAGGCCCCCTGCCCGGAGGAAACTGGGGCTGGGAGGGAGAAAGGCTAGCACAGCCACCCAAGCCTCTGTTGGCCCAGTCACCAGGCCTTCTGAGGTTGCCCACCATTCTTTCAGCCCAATAATAACAATGTTTTCTCAGACCCCTACTGTGACCGAGTCATCTCTTGGGGGTCAGAATAGTGACAGCACGGGGTCCCCAATTTCTAGGGTGAATCTGGAGGGTGGAGGACTTTGTTCCCAAGGTTGCCAGATTTGACTCTTCCTGTAGGCCTTGTAATCCCTGCTAGGTCTACCTAAGCCAGTCAGGGCCCACGGGGGAGCTTGGGTCTAGCACCTTGAATCTCTTTCCTGCTGCCTCAAGTGGGCTTCCCTTCCACCTGGGAAGGGCCTTGGCTTTTCATATCCTCCCCTCCCAGCTAAGTACCACAGCTGCTCCCAGGTCCCTAGAGACAGTGTTCCCAGCCAGGGTTTCTCAGGGTCCCCACCCCTGGATGCTAATATCCATCTGGTCTTCCTAGTTTATAGCTCCTCTTTGTATGTTCACCCTCTTATCTGTTTTCCTCTCCTTACCTCTTTCCGATTGTCTGCTCGCCCCTCAACCCATCACACCAGCCATACATTCGCTCATCTGTCTGCTCATCCAGCACCCGCCTACACATACATCTCTTCACCTAGCCTACATATCCATTCATCGTCCCCCCATCTTTCATCTCCCTGTCTGTCTATCCATCTACTACTCCACTTCCATCCGTCCGTCCGTCCACCTACCCACCTATCCATCAGTCTGTCTACTCATCCACTCATTCACCCCCCACCCATTCACTTATAATATCTACCTATCCATTCATCCAGCCACCCAGCTGCTATTCACTGATCTGTCTGTCCACATATCTATCCGTCCGCGCATTCATCGTCCCAAAGTCAACGGAACTGCAAGCTCTATGCTGAGTCCTGGGAACGTAAAAAGGTTTCCTGCCTTTCAGAGATCCAGTGTAGAGGGCAGAGCAATGAATAATAAGGTCCTACACGCTCGTGTGCACACACAGACACACACACACACACAGACACACACACACAGACACACACACAGACACACACACAGACACACACACGCGCACACACGCACACACACGCACACGCGCGCACACGCGCGCACACACACACACGCACCTCTAGTGACTCTGCTGTGTTGAGGGTCAACTTCTTGATCATTCAGTTTCCTCTTGTTAAGCTTTAATCTCTTGTTCTATATAAAAGCTAGCCCGACCCCTCCTCACATCCCAGTGGTTTCTCACTGTCAGCAAAAAGCCGGAGGCTCCCTCGTGTGCTTTTTTGTATCTACACTTGGGACTCCCCACAGGGTCCAAATGACACATCCTCAGAACCCCTAGGAACCAGACTCAGGCCCCTCCCTAAGATGAGGGAGTGTAAAACTGTACCAGCCCTATTGTAGTTCCTCACTTCCTCATCAAAAAGGCCAAGCTCAGGTGATGAGATTATAAAGGGAGAGTGGCCTGGGACATGAGACCCCAACCTTGTCTGATACGTCCTTTCATTAATCCATTGTTTTGGATTGATTTTATTAAGGCCTTGCTTAAGGTATCCCTGGCTAGCCTGGAGCCAGCTGCATAGACGGAGCTGCCTTCAAGTTTGTAGTCACACTCTCAGCTTTGCCTGGACAATGCTGGAATTCCAGGTATAAGTCCCCACGCCCTGACCTCTTCCTTCCTTCCTTCCTTGCTTCCTTCCTTGCTTCCTTCCTTCCTTCCTTCCCTCCCTCCCTCCCTTTCTCTCTCTCTTCCTCCCACCCAGTCCCTGTCTCCTGCTTTGATAGGGTCTCTAACCCAGACTGAGAATGACCTTGATCTTTCGATCCTCCTGCCTCCACTCCATAGTACTGAAGATGTGAGCCACCACACTCAATTGCCCAGTTTATACAGTGCTGGGGATTGAACTCAGGCCTTCAGGCATAGGCAAGCAGTCTGTCAACTGAGTTTCATCCGCAGACCTTGACTTGTGCTTATTCATTTGTTCATCCATCCATTTTAACATTTTACGTAGTGTCTTCTATGTGCTGGGCCTATAGAGTCACACAAACATGAATGAGGCCTGTATGGCCCCCGGGAGTTCACGGGACTATAGGGAGACATGCAAACAGACTGTGGGGCTTGGGGGACAGGATGCAAGAGAGAGAGGCAGTAGGTACATGTAGGAACAAGTCATTTAGTAAGTGTCACTGAAAGGACATCCTGGGAACAGTGTGCAAGGGATATCACAAAATGTGTGCCTGGCTGAGGAGGCAGCCTGAGCAGAGGCAGGGAGTTAGGAAAGAACCTGGAGCAGTCCCTGCCATCGCTGTGGCCAGGAGAAAGGTATGATGGGAAGGCAAACACCCTTTTGTGCTAAGCCCAGGAGCCTGGGCTGAACACAGGGCAGAGTTTCTGCTGGTTCTAAGCAGGTAATGTGAAGTGTGATCACAGACAGGAGGCCAGGTAAGCTGTGTTCCCAAGACCCAAGGGCCTCCGGGAAGAGAAACATATTCTATTGTCCTGGGTCTGTCCAAACCCAAGGATCTGGGTAAGCAGTTCATAAAAGAGATCCAAGGGTGGCCAGAGAGATGGCAGGGTGGGTAAGAGATGGGTTGCTCTTGTAGAGGACCTAACCCAGGTGGTGGCTCACAGCTGTGTGTAACTCCAGTCCCGGGAGATCTGATGTCCTCTTCTGAGAAACACGGTACACACATATACATACACATAGGTAAAACACTTGTCCACATAAAATAATAAAATAAATCTCAAAAAAAATTTAAGAAAGAGATAGCTCCAGGGTGGTCGGAAGATGTCTCAATCCTAGAGTATGCGCTTAGTATTCGCAAGGTCCAGAGTTCAGCTCCTATGACAAAACAGACTTCGTGGGGCCCACACTAAAGCTCTAGAAATGTGTGCACTGGCTCCCACCGTCTGGATGACAGTATTCTGTGGCTGAGTGAGCCTTCCACTTCTCCTCCCAAAGGTCCCCCCAGGCCTCTTCTCCTCTCACCTCCGGGGACCTGCTGTGATTAAAATCCTAGATCCCAAGGAAGCTCAGGCCAAGCCTTGCACCTCACAGGGGGAGCCCAGGGCCCACAGGAAGACATCTAGCCTGACTCCAGTCTCTAAGAAACAACTGAGACCGCATTCACTGTGGTGCTAAGCAGGGGGCATTCAGGAGGTTGAGTTAGATGCATCCTCACAAGATGTTCTCAGTTTGCATTGTTTACCAGGATGCAGTCCTCTAATCCCGTCATAGGTTGTTGGGTATCAGTTGATGCTGTGATAGTTTTAAATCATGAGCAATAGAGGAAATCTGCTAATGAACAACCCAAGTTAACAGTGCCTTTAAAAAGGAACTTGGGTGAGGTAATAACTCAGTTGGTAAAGTGTTTGCTTGCAAGTATGAGGATCTGAGTTCAATCCCAGCACACACATAAAAAACCCGGCATGGTGGTATATCTTATAAACTCAGCATTGAGGAAGTAGAGGCGGGTGGGACCACCTGACCAAATCAGTGAGTTCAAGGAAAGTGAGAGATCCTGTCTCAACAAACAAGGTAGACAGTGTCCTGGGAAACTACCTGAGGTTGACCTCTCCTCTACATACATGCACACACATGTACATGAGTGTGTGTACACATACATGCGAACACATGTGCGCATGCACGCGCGCGCGCGCACACACACACACACAGACACACACACACACACACCAGGGAAAACTGTTGGTTTAGGGGTCTGTTCTCATTATGGATGTCTCCTGTGATCTCATGGGACTAAGGCAACAACCTGTTAAGGTAAGGGCCAGGAGATCTGTGACCCAAGCAGGTCACACAGCTTGTAGGTAGAGGACTGGGCTCTGGGCAGGTCCAGGTTTTCCAGAAGGAGGAGGAGGGCTGGTACTGCAGGAAGGGAAAGAGAAATAAAATACACAGGTCAAAAGAGAGAAGTGAGAGACAGGCAGCAGGCGCCTCAGGTAAGGAGGGAGGGAGAAGAGGGGACACAGAGGAACAGAGGAAGATGGGGGCCAGGGGTGAGGGGGCCTCAGAGAAGGAAGCACACCCCGGCCCCTCCTCTCCAGCAGAGAGGGTCCTGGACTTCCTGAAGGTCACTAGGTGCCTCTTGCCCGACTCAGGAAATTGGTTTGGAACAAAAAATATTGGGACCTCCAGGGAACAAAAAAGAAAACAAAGTTTTAAATTGTCTTTATTTTGAGTTGATAATGCAGACGTAGATATAGACTTGAAACGGCGTATCCCAGATTCTCCTGCGCAGCTGCCTCACCAGTCACATGACCCTCCCTAGGATCGTGGTTCAGTCCTGTGCAGCGTTTACCCAGAAGGTAGCAGCACACTGTGTTTGTGATGGTGTGAAAGAGAAACGCTTTCAATAGAAACTCTTGGTGAAAGCCAGGCGTTGGTGGCGCACACCTTTAATCCCAGCACTCGGGAGGCAGAGGCAGGCGGATCTCTGTGAGTTCGAGGCCAGCCTGGTCTACAGAGTGAGTTCAAGGACAGCCTCCAAAACAATACAGAGAAATCCTGTCTTGAAAAACCAAAAAAAAAAAAAAAAAAAAAAAAAAAACAGAAACTCTTGGTGAAGAAATTCAGACTTTGAATGTCAACCTTTTCTCGGCCAAGCAGTACGCAGCCTGAGACTCACTCTCCTGTGGGTACTGCTGACCTATCATCAGCTGATCATGTGTGCCGACATGGCTGCTGAGCCAGGATGGGAGGCAGGTTAAGTACATCCCATGCGTTGTTTGAATTATGCATCTGTACGGGGTAGTCATGCGCACGCGAGTGCAGGTGCCCTCAGATTTCAGAAGAGGGTTTGGGTCCTCTAGTACAGTGGTTCTCAACC